GCTGGCAATAAGTCTGCAGCAGAACAGTCTTGAGACAGTGATGTTTATCGGTCATTGAGCGCAGGATGATGCGCTCGCTACACATTGTACAGTACATCCCTTTTGAGACTATAAATAAAATGAAGATGTTTGTCTGGTTAAACCGCCGGGGAATAGCTCGTACTGCAAAGTTTGCTCTCCAATAAGAAATAAGCTCCCCAATACCTAGGATGAAAGGTTTCTGCAAATCCGTACCAGTCTGTAAAACTCCTCACCAGGCATCCCTTCTCCTTCATGGCCATTGACTTATTTGGTGTGTCTGAAGGAGTTAACCATATGAAAGAATGCAACATTGAGTCAGAGACAATTTACAATTATATGTTCTAATAAAGTAGTGAGCTGGCCTTTGAGATCTTCATACAGAATCGTCATTGGTATCGGAAATAAAAACACCCAGCGTTACAATTCAGTTGTGAGTTATGTCCCTGCACACAAGAATTGAGAGTATTTTGAATGAGGGTGAAGGATTATTGGATTCGAGTCTCATTGGTCATAGCTTGGAAGTGATTGTGCCAGAAGTATTGATCTGGCTTTCAACTGTGCAATTCCAGTGGATTTTCAAATTGTCCATTGTGGTAAGATATTAAATAGGGTTGGTGACGTCGCTGAAAAATTTAATTTGATGAGAAAACATTAGTGTGTCAGAACCTGGTTTAAATTGGGAATCAGATAATGTTTCGACTCTCAGGGTTTTCTCTATCATTGTAATCTGTCACATCATAAACACAACTTTTCTGTCCTTTTACAGAAACACTCCTCTTTTTTTGAAACAGTCTCGCTCTTTTACACACACACCTCCCGAACACATTTTCTCCATCTTTTTACACACCATACTGCCTTTTAAAATGCTTTTTCCTTTTGCAGACTCTGTCTCTACTTTTGCACACATTCTCCCTCCTTTTCCATACACTCTCTTCATTTACAGATGTTCAATCTCTCCTTTCACACACACGCCTACCTTTTCACTCTTTTTTTCCCTTGCACACGTTTCCCCTCTCTCTTTCCTTTTGTGTGCACACTCCCTCTCTCTTACTGTACATTCTCTCTCTCCTTCTGCACACATTCTCTCTTTTCTCCATGTTCTCTCTATCTACTTTTGCGCACATTCGCTCCACACACTCTCACTCCTTCCTTTATGCGCAGTGTTTCATTTTCCAGGAACTCTGCCTTGTACACATACTCCTCACACTCTCTCTCTGTCTCTCTCTCTCTCTCTCTCTCTCTCTCCCTGCTTTAACACATGCAGTCTCTCCCCTGGTACCTACATTTTCTCTCTAGTTTGACAGGCGCCCTCTTCTTCAGATTTCTGCTCACCCCCTTGTTTTAAAAGTGCTCTCTCGTTCTATTGAAGTGCACTGCAGGTTTTGTTGACAGGCCCATCATACAGAGGTTGAGAATTACAGGCGAACGCTCACAAGCTCAGAGTGAGACATTTGTGCAGAGTCACCTTAGCATTATATGTGTCAAAATGTTGTTAGATTGAAGTAGACTCATGAAGTATTCATCGTGACGAGATTAGGCTCTTGGTTTTCCTATATGGCCTAAAGTGCATTCATTGCTGCAAACTAATGCTCGACAAATTGCTTTATTTTTGAGGCAGACTGCCATTGTTGTGCTATTTCTTCCTCTTGTCAATCAATTTTAGTGTACTGCAGTTGGAACAAAAACGTATTTAAGTATTTAATAAAATGTGAATTAATTAAAAGAGAATAGCATTTTATCTCTGGCCTCTTTTGTCCGTTGAATTCCATATGGGAAGACTTAATTATTAGACCTTGAGATATCACTTACTAAAACAAAGGATGTAAGAATGATCCTGGATCAACTGTTGTAATTCTGTGCGCTAATTGTGGAGGAGAAATGACAGCCTGGGTTATGTGATAAAACAGCAGTAAATTCTGCAGCTGAATATATTTCTATTAAAAAACTGCTGTCAGGGACAATAACTGTGTCATAATATGAAGTGCTAAACAAAAATCACTTTCTGCAAAGGAAGTACTTTCTAAAAATGAGAATGGCAGATGATTATGGCAAATGGTTTGTTACCACAGCCATCTGTTCTGCAAACAGAATGTTCACTACCTCTTAATGTAACACGCTCCGGGATGCGAATTTTAAAAAAATTGCAACATCTACTGGGGTGGGGGAGGCGTGGGGGCAGGCAACTAGGGACGGGCAATAAATACAGCCATACCAGCTTCGCTCCCCCTCCCCCCCCGGCGGAGAAGTAATTTTGAGGAGAAGGTGTGTAAATTCTCAGGATACTGCACATCATTACCAAGACTGACGGTCACATCAGCTGGATCTTGTTTTAACACCCCCTTTTCTGAAAGGGTTAGATCTCTGAAGCAGCAGTTGTAACCCTCAGCCTGTGCTGATGTGACCTGGAATAGCTCGGCTCATGATGGAGTGGACAGTTCCAGTTTGCCATAGCCCTGGGAGGTTAATGGTGAGTTGGTCGTCGTGATTGCTGGACGTCCCAGTCTGAGTTAATATGCACTGACTTGCATTGTTACGGACCAGGACTGCATTCACTACGATGCCTTCTGCTGTTGAATAGCACGCCAAAGCTGAAAGCCCGAATTTTAAACCTGCCTGCCCAGTAGAAGCAAACAGGTCCCTGGTGCAACCCTCCTTGTTTACCATTGTCACTCCTGTGTCGCATTCAGGAATGTGAACGCGGAGGTTTCAGAATTATCAGGCCCCCCCCCCGACTTAATTTTGACTGTGAAATGGGCATCAGCTCTGCTTGCAGAAGATAGTCACGAGCAGCAACAGGCCAGAAGTTACTAAAGTCAGTATTCATTTTGATCATTTTAGTTCGGTTTCTTGTGGCCCAGGAGCAGCAGGAGTGAACCTCCTCCTGACAGGAAACACTCCAGGGCCTCCTCTGCCCTCAGTATCCAGCTGTGGACCAGTTGAAGGTCCTTGTTGACTTGTGTTACCACCGAGACTGTGTTTCCACGGTCACTGAAAGCACCAAACTCCTGACATGATGCTCTCTGCCATTCACCAGCATCGACATCATTCCAGTAAACTTCAAACAGAAGCCAAGACTTTGGAATGAAAATGGCTGAACTCTGACTCCTGCCTAGGCTGTATCCTGGGTTGAAGTCAAAGCCTCTTGTCTGTTGCATTCTCATTTTAAGAAAAAGTCACCTGGCTAAGCTATCAGAATGGTGGTTGGAATCACGACCCCGCAGGTAATCAGAGAAAACTTGAGATCCATTTTTCAGTGTTGGTTTTAGCTGCTTCCACATGTAATGTACATGGTTAATACAATCACTGAGGTGATGCAATAGTTAGCCACAATTCAAACTCTGCATCATTACTTCACTAAACAGTTAGAAAACCTTTTACTTTGTCTGCACAGTTTCCATGAATTAAAATGAGAATCCCTTTTAGTCCACTGTTCTTTAAGGACATGACACTGATTAAAGGGCTGAAAAGATGGTAGAAAGCCAAGGTAGTTACGTTTTCACTTCCCATTTAAAGCTGGGAGGGAGGGGTATGTGATTGAACCTTTTTATCTTACGGCTGTATAAGTTGTGTGGTTTTAGGTGCAAGTACACGATTCTGTTTCTACATCGATATAATCTCTGTTTGAATGTTTTTGACAAAGCTCAGAATGTTTTGCTCTTGGTGCAAAAATACTAAACTAAGCAGTTAAAGGGGAGTGACATGCTCGGATTTAGAGCTCATCTGTACTGACTGCAGGTTTCTCAAGGGATAAGATCCCCTTTTGCATGGCTGTAAATGAAACCTGTCAGCATGCTTTTGTTTTGCTAAAGCTGGCCTTCTGCATTCATACCAAGCAGTTTGTGTTATTTTAGCTTTGACGCAGCTCTCAAGCATGAAAGCTTTCTGCAGTTGTCATCTCAGGGGTAGGAGAGGGAAGTGTTCAGACGTGGGCCACAGAGAGGGCTATCTGCAGGCAAGCGTGGCGGGAGCAGCTGTGTGGTTGTGACACCGTGTGTGCAAGCTGGGGACGGAAGGGCAAATATTTAAAAGATTTACCAACAAGAGCTCACTTTTGAATGTACATGTCACATCCAAGCAGCCTCCAGAAGTATAACCGCTGAAATAGTTTTGACAGAGAAGATAATTGTTGGTTGTTAATGGGCTATTGATTTCATTACTTAGCCCTGACACGAGGACGCGAGCTGTGCAAAACTGCCCAGCAGTAGCCTCGGTAACACTTCAAAGTGCTGACCTCAGAAATTGAGCACTGATGGTTCGTTCCCCGATAATTCAGCATCAGAATGCCATTTCCCACCCAAGGTGCACCCACTGTCTCCTGCGTCCAGAGGAGCTGACAGCGCCAGGAAGGCAGGGCTGCGAGTCTGCAGTTGGACTGTGGGGGATAGTTACAGCAAACTGATTGCCTGGGGTTAGCCCTCTTGCACTTGCACTGTTCGGCAATGAGGCCCGTACACTTAGTATCAAAAACGTGTAGCGCATGGGTCTCAAATATGACAGACCAATGAGGAAGAGTCAGGCGGAACAGCTCACAGAAATTATTCCCCAGAACAAGGAGGAAAAAGCACAGTAAAACAAAAGCACTTCCAAAATCAGATGCCTGAGCTTGACCATGTCCGTGGAAGCGAATAGAAAATACATTTTTCTGTGCTCATTAGAAACCATTATTGCACCATAATTGAAGCCAGCTTATTGAAGCATCTACATGGTAGTTTAACTCCTTGTTCTTCAGAATTTAAAGACATTTTATAGAAGGCATTAGCATGTAGAAAGCGTCTATCTTGTTAAAAACTTTTATTTTGTTCGACATAACATCAGAGGACAGCAACAAATTTGTTTCTTCATCTGGCAGGGTTTGAATCCGTTGCTATTCATTTTGCTTTTTAAGTATCTCACTTGTGCATCTTTTGTGTTTGATAGTGGTAAATGATGCTTTGTCGTTGACCATGGCATATCAAAACCCTCATTTTATCTCTCCTCAGGTCCTCCCATGCCATCCTCCTCTTCCTCGTCCAGTCCATCAGCCATTGCGCAGTCTGGTTCCCCAGTTTCATCGCCCAATGCCAATGGCAACCAAAGACGGTTGCTTGGCAACAGCAACACGCAGCCGGCTCATGAATCTGACACAGATGATGAGGAATACAATGCAAATTCATATCTAGCTCAGGCCAGTTCAGGCACAGTGTGTGTGGCCAGTAATGGTAAGGAAATTGCCTGCATCTATCAGCTCCTCCTGTCTCTTGGCATCTTCTTACATCTGAGCAATACTTTCAGCTGGAAGAGGCTTGGGAGCACCAGTCTAGGTGACAGTTAACCTCCCAGCCTCTTACTGAACTGCTCTTCTCTGCATTTATTCCTAACACAAAGCTTTATTGCACGGCAAGCCTCTTCTCGCTATCCGAGTGCACGACTGACCTCCAACCTGTTGTCACTTGACCCGTTAAGGGCTGTGTCAAGTACTAACCCCATTTTGTGAAAGCACATTCAGATCTGAGTTACAGACAAGTCGCCCTGCCACGCCCCCCCCAACCCTAAACCCGCTCCCCCCACCTTGGCTTTGCGTATTTAACTGAGGATTGCCATTGCCAGGTACAGGCAGAAGGTGGGAATTCTCCAGCAGAGCCAAGAAATTCCAGTAACCTTTCCTTCAGCGGGCAGTGATGGGAACGCACGCGGGGAAAGCTCAGTCGGAGCCTGTTGGCATTTGCCAGCTGTTGCAGTTTAAACAAGATGCTTCAAAAATCGAGATGTTCAAACACAGCTATTGGCTTGCTGTTTGAGGAAATAAACCATTGAACCATTCTTTCGTACAACACTGTAGGATGTATTCGATCTGAATGGAGCACGCAATAAAAACCCCAGTCAGGTCACTCTTGGCTGTTTTCTCTTTCTTTGCAATCTAATTCTCTTCCGGGAATGCAGTGATTACATATTTTAGTGCATGACTATTATTATCTTAACCACAGAACTGAGAGCCTGGCGTGATTCTCGTTCGCTCCTTTTGGAAAGAAAAAGACACACAACAAGTGACAAGTTTTATACTTGGCAGATTTTTGTGCACTAGCAGGGGATGATTCAATGTTGTGACAATATTTCTGACTCACTTGACAGTGGATAACACATGGATTGTGCAGGCCTTGTTGCTGTTGTTTTAACTTTGTGCCTTTTTGTTTCCAACAATTGGGCTTTTAGCCGACTACATCTGTTGCCAAGGCGACTTGGGGGGGGTTCACCATCAGTAATCAGATGAAAATATGAAATTGCTTTGAGAAACCTGAGATTGAAGGAAATGCAATTATTGACCGGTGCTGTTGTGGGTTCTGAACATATTTTCGCAGTAACCCTGCACTTGCTGTTTATCCTGCTTGTTTTTTTTTGCGAGTGTAATTTTGTGAAATGTTGTGTTTGGAGATTAAATGTTTGCAAGCTGGACATTCCCTCATGTACAGAGGTACAAAAACTAGCATGTAGGGTTGGCATGAGGAATCAGTGATGATCAAGCAAATCACCCATAAAGAAAGTAAGAAATAACTGGCATTTATACATCATCCTTCAGGCCCCTTTCAAAGCATTTTTACAATTAATTAAGTACATTTGGAATATAATCACCATTTAATGTAAAGGAATGCAACAACCAAGAATGGCTCTGCCTGATCATGTTGGCCAGGCCATCAGGAGGGCTTGCCTCTGTTGCTCTGAACAGAGGCAAAATGTTTTTTGAGGTGTACCAGAGAGAGCAGACAGGACCTAGGACTAATGGCACATTCAGAAATTGGGACTTTGTACAGTGCAGCACCCTCTCAGTATCCTCGATTATGTGCTCAGGCTACTGGAGTGAGACTTGAACACACGACCAGTGATTGCGAAATGACAGTACCACTATTGAACCAAGTCTGACATCTTTGCAATATAACAAGCATGTCTCTTTGAGAGCTGGATCCTTGGGACTGAGAGTAGAGTATGTTCCGAGTGGTAAGTGCTGGAATTCTAACATTGAGAAATAGTCAGGAGCTAAAAAGGGCAAGTCTCCTGTCATTCATGGTGGGTAGAATCTCCATTATAGACCAGCACAAGGGATAGAGATTGCTCTTAGCAAATCATCAGCCATTATGTGCTGTATATTAGCCAATTAGGCTGACCTGAAGAGTTCATACCAGAAACAATGGGCAAGAACTGTTTAATGTTGCACTGTGGCATAATGGAATTGGACATTGGCATAATTCCTCATTTTTTTCATTGGTGATGCACTGAAAGGCTCTTTGGAACTTTCTTCCTGAAATGGAAGTTTGTGGGGTGGGGGGGGGAGCGGGAGCGTGGGGGGAGGCGGGTGGTGGTGGGGTATTAGGCAAAGAGTCAGTGAATATTTTTAAGGCAGAGGTAGATAGAATCTTGTTAGGCAAGGGCGTGAAAGGTTATTTGGGGTGGTGGCGGGGTAGGTGAGAATGCAGATTTGAGGTTACAATCAGACCAGCCATGATCTTAATGAATGGTAGAGCAGTCTCAGGAGGCTGAATGGCCTACTCCTGCTCATTTTTCATGTGTTTGAACATTTCAGTTCCCTCTCTCAGTGAGTGGCAAGCTAACAAGTGGGGGAACAGTGGGCCTTAGGCCTTGCCCCTATGCCACCCCAGCTCAAAGATTCTCAAGAGGGACTGGCAGCAAGTATATGGAGGGCTTAAAGCAACCTTTTTTTCTGCAATATGACCTCTAGTGTAGCTTCAGGGCTTACTGCCCTCCAGTCATTGCTTTTGGATATTTTATTGACAAGAATTGAATCTGGAAATTCTGATAAGTTCAGGGAATGTTAGACAGACACTGGAGTGAGGGGTAGGGAGGGAAGGGCTGGAAAAAAATATTTGCCTTCAGAAGTTTTAGCTAATATATGTTTTCAAATTCCTCATCAAATAATTTGAATTCATGATCTTTGAATGTCTTTTTCTGACACACTTTTGAAATAATGTTCTGAGTTTACCTTGTCTGTCTACACCATTGAATATTTTATACCCTCCACAAAGTACCCTCCACAAAGTACCCTGGTTTAACTTTCTGACTTTGAAATTATATTTTGAATCATCCTCATGCATCTGTAAGTGGTTTAATATTTCATAAGTACCTCAACAAGATCCTATTAACCCCTTAATCATCTTCTTTCTAAAACAATAGATCTAAAGTATCTATGATTTTGACCCGCAGCTCACCTCTTTGAGACACAGTCGTATTTAATCCCTTCCCAATTCATGTCAGTTTGTTTGTTGCGTGTGCTGAGAGCTAGACACCGCACCGTGATCTTGCCATGCAGGGCACTGTGAAATTTTAGCATGACCAATTGGTGTTTGTACTGTTCTGCTTTGGTGATATATTGCAGAACGCTATTAGCATATTTAATCACACTGTTGAGAGATTGAAAGTGACGTGTCTCTCGATTTTTCCTTTCTAATTTCCCTGTGCTAATTCAGTGCTGATTACTGTACACTTAATTTCCACATTTTGTGACCTTTGTGTGATGCTGTACGGTTTGCAACGTGAAATTTAATTTGCCACTTGACCAGTCGCGTAAATGATCCAAACCCAGATGCTGTTGCTACATCCTTTGTCTCAACTCGTGTTCCTGCTCTCAGGAAATCAGAGAAACAACATTTACTTTTGGTATCCAACTCGTTAATGTAAATTAGAAACATCAAAATTCTAAGCGTTAATTCCACACTCAGCACCTCACTGCACTGTGACCTCTCAGCTCTCCTGTGTGCTCAGTTTCCCATTGTTTCCTATCTTGTCTCATATTCTATCAACTTCTTAACAACTATGTGCCCTCACCTGGATATGCTGGCTGAAGAAGACATTTTTGTTTCCCAAAAGTATGCCTTATAACATTTGTACAAGTATGCAAACATAATATTTTACAAGGAAATTGAGGCAAAGTGGTTATCTTGAGGAAATGCTTCATCTTTGCCCAGTTGATCCTACTCATGGCTCCAGAGCCACAATGGTGTGGCTTGCTCTTGTAAATCAGCCCAAGTGAACAATTCAGTTTGAGGACAATTGGGGATGCCCACGTTTCATGAAAGTATAAAGAACACTTCAAATTTGACACAACATAAAGTGCAATGTAGATCAGCTTTCTCCAGTGTAGTGTTCAGGGATGTGGAGCTTCGGTGGGTTATAGAGGGATGGGTCAGTGTGGACTTGTTGGGCCGAAGTGCCTGTTTCCACAGTGTAGGGATTCTATGAGTCTAATCCGGTATATGAGGTGACTCACGACACTTGTCATTTTCTGGCGCATACACCCCGAAGTGTTTTACATGGGTTTTCGCCCATTAATGTCCAATGGCAGGATGGCTTTAGGCAGTGGCTTTCCCTGATGAGCCTTTCTAACTGGTGCCTCAGGCTTCAGCACATAGTCCTGGACCTCGGAAAGTCATCGCTGACAGGGTAAAAAGTGCATTTAACCAGAGCATAGTTCTGTGCCATTCCATCCGGCCCTTGGCCTCAACAGCTCTTTGCACTGGAAGCCAAACAGGTTTAGGGCAAACCAAAATGAGGTCTTTCCCCGAGTTGGTGATCCTCCAGCAGTAATTGATGTTTAAGTCAGTGGTCATCCTTGGGAATTAGCCACAGAACACAGAGTCCTGTGTTACAGAGCTGCTCAGAATAAGCCTCAACTAAAACCACTGCATCTTTTCCCAAGTTTTCATTACAGAGGCACATTCTAACAGGAGTTGTGCAGTGGTTAATGTCTTTGCGAGGGCAGGACAGGAGAAAACTGATAACCAGGTGTGCAAGAAGGATCTGTGAGGGAAGGCGCTTCTCACCATTAGCAAATGCACATATTGGTGTTAGTTTGAATATTGTGGTTGATGAGCCATTCTGCCAGATAATTTTGACGAATCACTTCAGGGAAATATCTGGCAGGAGGATCTTCTAGTGCAGTGATAACGATCCCAAAACTGGACCAGAAGGTCTGTGTTTAAGTGCAGCCTGTCACAGAGATGGGGTCATTACATGTCGGGACAAGTACACTTCTTTTAGCCCACTATTGATGACATTGAGATAACAGCATGTCAAAAGTCTGCATAGTTTTTCACAATCACTCACACAGTGCAAGTTGGAATCAAGTCAGAAGCCATTTTATGGCAGACCATTTTGGTCTTACTGTCGAAGTGTGCAATTTGATTGGCCCCAAAACTCAGTCAACAATACAGAA